ACGTCTGCCCGCCCAGTGGTGCGCTCCGCGGGGTGACAGCGCCCGGCGTCCGGCCTGGGCCAACCGCCACTCCCGATGCCGGGACCTTTAAAGGTCATTTGAGACCCATAGGGTGAAAGAGGGTTAAAAAGAATAAAAATACAAACTCAACTTATGGAGTTATTGTTAATTATTGTAATTGCCTTGATCTCTCCTGAGTCACTTCCCATCTTCCAAACTCAGTAACCCCAGTTTGCTAGCCTGTTTTCGTGTTCCTTTGTAAGGTGTTTGGTGCGGTCATGGTATATACATGCAGTATTTGACCCAGCTTGATCCTCCTTGAGTCATTTTACTGCGGCGCTTTACTACTGCCATTGAGACCGTGTCCACGCCTTGGGAGTGTTCGTATTTTGCCTAATTCAGTTTTCTTTCCGGCTGAGGAGAGATCATTTAGTTTGCGATTGAGGAGGTTCAAAAAGTATAAGGAATGGGGAGAGTAGATAGGAGAGAGGAATTTGGCAGCGTAAAGGAGCTTGGTTTAACTTTAATGGATTAGGACAGACTGATATCTAGCACATTTTATGTTATTGTTCTCTGCTATTCTGTGCACCTGGAACAACTTTCTCTGGGTTAACAAACATGTTCAACTCTGTCTTCCATATAGCTCCTGACTCTAAACCTTGTTTTGGAAGGTTTCCCTCTTCTGAGAAAACTGGGAGAAGCTGATTTCCTCTGCTTTCTTTTCCTATGGCCTTTTCACACTGAAACCCAGAACACTTAATGCTGTGCAGCTTGTATAAAAATTTAATCTGTAATTAAAAAATTTTGCACAGTTCATTGCTGACTCTGGGCATGTCTGTTGTTTGTATCTGTAATATGTATGTCCTTTTCAGTGTTGTCTGTTTTAGTGTGCAGGTGATAGACTAGAGAACAAGACCTCTGTCTCCGTAGCATCCTGGGTATGTGAATATTTAATAAATATTTTCATGATAATGAGTTTTGTTTGAACTTAATTAAAAACATGATTTAAAAAAATTCTTTAATGATTTAAATAGCCAAAGGATGGGAAATAGTGATATTGAGATAATTTATTTCAAAATAATCAGTATTTGCCCTTGAAGTCTAACTTTTCTTCTTTCTTCAACTTTTAAACAGAGCAGTCTGAATGCCAGAATGGATAACCGTTTTGCTACAGCATTTGTAATTGCTTGTGTACTTAGCCTCATTTCCACCATCTACATGGCAGCCTCAATTGGCACAGACTTCTGGTATGAATATCGAAGTCCAGTTCAAGAAAATTCCAGTGATTTGAACAAAAGCGTCTGGGATGAATTCGCTAGCGATGAGGCAGATGAAAAGACTTATAATGATGCACTTTTCCGGTATAATGGCACAGTGGGATTGTGGAGACGGTGTATCACTATACCCCAGAACATATATTGGAATAGCCAACTAGAAAAGACAGGTATTTCTCTTATTTTGTTTCCTTTACCTCCTCAGCAGTAGACGAAGTGATGCAATGATGGCCCAGTTATATATAAGCAGGTTTGTGGGTTCTTTCTCTCCCCAAAGAAATAAATCTTATGTGTCTCTTTTCTTCCTACTTCCTTCTCTTCCCAACTTCCAAGACTTACCATTGTGCTCTTAAGTGTTGGTTGTACTCTTAACTGTCCTTATCTTGGGAAAGCCATTTTAGATATTTTGTTTATTTACTCATTCATTGAAAGCTGTTTCATTAATCTCACATGTCATGAAGAAATAATTGGAAAAGTACATTGGAAGACTTTAAATACTTGGTAACTGGACTAGTTTCCAAAATGAAGTCAGCTAATATGAGTTGATAGTTCTTTTATGTGTTTGCCATGTCATTATCATTTATCTTCTAAATCTTAGAGGATGTAATTTGACCAACTCTACATTTAAATCTGTAGATATTTGAGACTGTTTTAAAACAATCTTGATAGCGTTTATAGGTTAAAAATATGCAGTATATAAGAAGAAAATATAAATAATTTCAGGCTTATTTTACAAGCATTCTTAATATTTAAACATTTTAATTTCCATTTATTAAAATGGAAGCTTTAGAGCTCTTTATAAGGAATAACTTTACAATTTGTTTTGGTTTATGACTGTTTCTGTTGACCTTTTGGTGGGAAGCACTGTATTCAAATCACAGCACAACAGGCTTGAGTTACCATACATCAAAAGGATGATAGTTGTGATTTTATATGGAAAAAAGAAAATAGTTTGGCAAGAGGGGAAAGTGGTTAAAATTTATTGTAAAATGTTTAACTCTACTTATGAGAGAATAGGAAGGAGTACTTGATATTTGAATCTTAGTAACCATTTATTATTCATTCAACAAATATTTATTATATGTTTCCATGTTCCAGGGCCTAGTAGCTTGGAGTATATCAGGGGGGAAAAAAACAAAACAAATGAAAATCCTTACTCTTGGGGAACTCCTTACATCCTAATAAGGGATGACCGGCAATAAACATAACAGTGTAAACAATACATAATTACATAGTATGTTAGAAGATGACATGTGCTGAGAAGAAGTACAACAAAATGAAGGAGATTTGGAAATACACAGGGAAAGTGATGTTGGTGGGCATAAGTTACGTAGTAGTATAGGCAAGATAGGTTCCCAGAAGAAGATATCACTTGAGTAAAGACTTGATATAGGTGAAGGTGTTGGACAAATACGTAATTGTGGAGGCAGGTAGAATCATTTAGGTTGGAAGGAACAACTGCTGCAGGGGCCAGTAGCTGAGAGCATGCCCCAAATATTCAAGGACCAGCAAGGAAGCTACTGGACTGGACTGGAGGAAGACAGGGAGAGAAAGAGAGGGTATTCTGTCAGCGACATGTACACTGGGAATGGGAATTGGGCACATCATGCAGGTTTCTCTAGGCATTTTGAGGATTTTGGTTTTTACTATGAATGTGGTAGAGCCATTGGAGGGCTTTGAGCATGGGAGAGATGATCTGTTCACCAAGGCTGATTTGCATCAGGCAAAGGTGGAATCCAGGAGACTAATTAGAAGGCTTATACAGTAATGCAGGTGAGAGATGATTGAGACTCAGACCAGGGTGGTAAAACTGAGCAGTGGCTAGATTCTAAATATATTTTGAAGGTATAGCCTCTAGGATTTCCTGATGGAATGCATGTGGGCAAGAATGACTCAACTTTCTAGTCTGAGGAACTGGAATGGTGGAATGTTACTATCTGAGATGGGCAAGATGGCTGGTGGAGTAAGTTAGGGGAGAAGATCAAAGTGCCTTTTTATTTCAGTCTTTGTCCTCTTCTCCTTCTAGTCTTACATATCTAGTCTCATTCATTTTACGGTTCCTACTTTCTTTTTCTTTTCTATGCCCATGTCTTAAGCCTGCTGCTGAGAACCTCTGGCATCCATTGGGCATTGATCGTGCATGTCAGGGCCAAAGAGGTTGCTTTTTCCTCTGGGGACATCTTTTTATGTCACTTTTTATTTTAGAGTATAATTACTCAAAGAGATTTTGTTAAACGTTTATAGTTAAAACAACAAACAATCATTGTTATTATTTCAGAATCATTTGATGTGGTCACAAGATGTATGGGTTTCACACTAAATGAGCAGTTCATGGAGAAGTTTGTTGATCCTGGAAATCACAATAGTGGGATTGATCTGCTTCGGACCTGTGAGTACCTTGATATCTGCAGGAAAATTGGGGAAAATAGGAAATAATTTTATCTTTTGTTGAGCTCTGATTTTGGAAAAAGATGAACGAGTACATTGTGTCAGCTTGAAATAAGATCTTTAACAGTATCCCAACAAATTCATATCTGTTGATAAAATATTTTAGAAGTTAGGTACATACTAACCAATTGCAAATAGGAAGTTGAGAGAGGCAGACTGATACCCTGGTTGACAGAATCCAGACCCCTCAAAAGATGTTATTAGTGAGCCCATTTAAAGGGAAAGTTTAATAGGAATTAATAATAAATTTGTATGTTTGAGTTAAACACTTTAGCTACCTAAGTTCAGATAGGGGTATGTGGAAACAGTTGACTGCAAGCTCTGTATGAGCCAATTGAGTGCCAGGCCTGTCACAAGTGTTACTCCAGTCTTAGGTGGTAGTAACAAAAGTGGAACTGTCAAAAATAAATGACAGTATTTATTAGGAGTATTCTGTTCCTTGAGGATCAGGTTATCCAAGAAATACTGTCTTCAGATTTCGACCTACTTTCCAGTCTATAGAGACTTATTGGAGCTTGCCTGGATGAATGACCATGTCATGAGAGGAAACATTGAATAAATGGCAAGTATTCAATTTTGCATTGCAGATGCATAGGAAGAAGTTTATTATTAACAGTTTGAAGGAAAGTGAAAGAAAAGACTTTTGTGTAGTTCTAGAAAGTAAAACTAGCACTGAAAGGTGGATTTGGTTTGGAGTTGATATTAATACATTGCTAATAACTAAAATTAAAAATGGATTGGTATTTGTTGTAAAGTCATCAGTTTTCTTCCCATGCTGTTGAGGGAATTTATGATAATTAAAACTGCCATTTATTGTGTGCCTGGTATATACTAGATCCTCTACTTTGTACTTTATGTATATTCTTTCAACAGGTTTTTATTATCATCACTCCTTGACTTGTTATTCCTACCATGAGATCTTGTAAGAACTTAGATTAGTTTGTATGTAGGGCAAGAATGTTTCACTTCAAATTCTGGCTCGACTACTAACTATGTCACCTTGTTCAAATTATTTATACCTCCTGCCTCAGTTTTCTCTTTTATAAAATAGAGATAATAATAATAGTAGTACCTAATTCTTAGAGATGTTGGGAAGATTAATGCACAAAGCATCCATAGAATAGTGCCTGACATATGGTAAATGTCCTGCTGAGATCCGTAATTGTTAACTGCTAGTGTCCTTTTTTATGAAGACAAAGTTAGCATCTTTTTGAACAATGTGCTTTAGAAAAGAAACCTCAATATTCCTTTCTCATTTTTTAAGAAATAATCTAATTAGAATATGAAAGAACTTGCCATTGTGGGAAAACTGTCTGGAATCATGGTAACCTTTTTCTCTCTCTTTTTTTTAAATCAGATCTTTGGCGTTGCCAGTTCCTTTTACCTTTTGTTAGTCTAGGTTTGATGTGCTTCGGGGCTTTGATTGGACTTTGTGCTTGTATCTGCCGAAGCTTGTATCCCACCATCGCCACAGGCATTCTCCATCTCCTTGCAGGTGGGTCTTGTCATCATACTTAACTTTTTATCTTCTTCTTGTCTCCATAGAGACCAAAGAGTTGTAATTCTTAAACTTTCATATATTACTGCCCTGTCACATTACCTGAAATGCTCTTACAGTGCTCTTACTTAGCTATGTTTTGTTTTATTTTCTAAAATTTCCTCCAAGGTCTGTGTACACTGGGCTCAGTCAGTTGTTATGTTGCTGGAATTGAACTACTCCACCAGAAACTAGAGCTACCTGAGAATGTGTACGGTGAATTTGGATGGTCCTTCTGCCTGGCTTGCGTCTCAGCTCCCTTGCAGTTCATGGCTTCTGCTCTCTTCATCTGGGCAGCTCATACCAACCGGAAAGAGTACACCTTAATGAAGGCATATCGTGTGGCATGAATGGGAAGCTACCTGCTTTACAATTGCCATTTTTATTATTTTTTCATAGTAATAATTTCCCTTGTTTGCCCCCTAATTGTTTTTAATTTAACTTTTTTTTTGGCAGATATATCATTTTATCCTGAAAATCTATTTTATTTATTCACACAGTTGTTTTTTAATACCACTGAAATTTGTATGGATTCCTCTAATTCCCTATTTCAGACAAACTAACCTAGGTTCAGAATCCAGACAGAAAGAAATGGGTAGACACTTGACACAGATTTGTAAAAGAAAACCGATAGTGGGAAATTGACCCAGAGCAGGTTCTGCTGATGTCTGTTAGACTTTTTAGTAAAGTAACTGTATTCACTCAACTGGAAACTTTTTTTTTTGGTTGGGAAATCTCATCATTGTCAAAACTTATGATCACTTTGCTGATATAGATAGCCAGTTAGCCAGACGTATGAGTACTATTTTCAGAGACTTAAGCTATATAAAATAGGGAAATTACGATCTTTTCCCCTAAATATTGGCATATAGCTTCACCAGGATGAAATATGGCAGCTGTTTATCTAAACTGTGTCTGTGTACAAGAAAAGTGAAAAGTGTAGTATTTACTTGACATTTTAACTTTGTAACTGCAAGAATTCTAATTCAACCAGACAAGAAGATTAACCTTATTTTTCTTTTCTTTTTTAAAAATTTTCCTTAATGTGTCAAGTAGGATTTTCAGTACCACCAAATCATTTTGGATTTTTACTCCTTCCCTCTTCATGCACCAGGCTTATAAAAGAGTGCTTTCTTTTTAACACTACATAGGGGTCACAATAAAATTTGCCAATTGCTATTTCTTTATTCCAGCTAAGTACCATAAAGAACGTTCCACCATAATGACCTACTGAAGCTAGGAAACCTACCACAAGACCTGGCTGGTCATTAACTTCCAACTGTGGTCTTTATTTCTTGTGGTGAAATGATGTGCCTTTCCTTGCCTAAATCCCTTTGTGGTGTGTATCAACATTATTTAACATCTTCTGATTCA